GGGGGGTGCCGACCTCCGGTGGCGCTGTTCTCCCCCTGTTGGGGAACTCCGGTACCTACGTTGGCGTTGCTACGTGTTTGCACCATCGTCGTTGTGGAGGATTTCTTCCGAGTATGATTCTCGAACTCTCAACGAGAGCACCAATTTGATGGACAATAAATCCACCAAATGATCCGATTTACAGAGCGGATCGCAAGAACAAAATTAAGAACAAGAATTCGAGAATTGGATGTGTATTACTAGCTTGATTTAGCCTGAGTTCTCCCCTTTCGGGTCCCTTCTATTTATACACGAGCTCTCAACAATTAAGGTGAAGCATAACCGATGGAGTCTAGCCCGCCAAGGGCGCGATCCCCTTTTCCCGGCTCCGTAACGGCCAATCAGCTCCGTCTCCTTCTCCGGACTGACTCTGCCAGCTGCGCTTGGCCTGAGGTTAACTAGGCCCAGCTTGAGTATTTCAGAGGTGCTTGACCCGAAGCTGTTTAAATGGTTCATTTGGGCCGTCCTCTGGATATCGGCCCATCAATCTGTATATCAATACTGATTTGATCAATCTGAGCTCTCTTATTGAATTGCTCGTTCAATGAGCCTTCTAAATAGTATCCCTTGAAGGGGACTCAAACCTACAAGCTTTCAGCACGATATTTTGAGTCTTGCGTGGCTTCCATTAAACCATCAAGGCATCTTGAAGTCCCGTTTTTTCATGAGTATGTGTGATGAATATATAATTTTGGTGCATCTGTGAAAAAATATTTAAATTCTGGGTGTTATGTAATTTTGTTGATGTTCTTGAATGAATCTCTTGATGCAGGTGATCAACAAGACTGATCTGGCACCAGCTGTTGGAGCTGATCTCTCTGTTATGGAGCGCGATGCACTTCGCATGCGGGATGGTGGCCCTTTTGTTTTTGCTCAGGTTTCCTTTGCTCCTCATTGCTTTGTTTCCGACAATTATGTATGTATGAATGCAATACAAAAAATGCTAGACACCCGCCACAGTTGACCCACGGATTACAATCACAGATGATTCATACATGTACAGACGATAATCGTTTGTAAACACGGATGTCTGTGTATGTAGAAATCATCAGTGATTGTCATCCGTGGGGCACCCGTAGTGGGTTACTAGGATGATCCAATGCAATGTCATCTTCATAGGTGATTATTAGTGATGGTCTCTTTATGGAATTTGCAAAAATCATTGATACGCAGGTGAAACACGGCGTGGGAATCGAAGAAATCGTAAACCACATTTTGCAAGCTTGGGAAGTAGCAACAGGGAATAAGCCACACTGAGTTCAGATTAATAAGATCCCTGCATCTATGAACTCTTTTTCATTTGATGATTTCTGGTTTATCCTAATTAACAGTACTTAGAGGAGTCTCCTTCAATGAACCAGACTTGGTATTTTCTTAGTGTGTTTTCTCCTTCCGTTCTAGTGTATTCGTCTAGTTTATTTTTTTCAAGTCAAGCTGGACAAATTTTATTCATCAATTACTCTCAATTTGTATTGCATATTACTCCATATTACAATGAAATAAAATTTTGAAAATTTTCCATAAGATGAGTATAATTGAATCATTTTTATACTAACATGCATTGCACGGAGTAGTTTTTATTTAATTGAGGTCTAAAATTTGTCCAGTTTGACTCGAATAAGTCAAACTAAACAAATACACTGAGGCGGAGGTAATATATTGTACTTCGTAGTAAAATTGTGACATTCTACTCCACACCCATTTGGCAATGGGAAGAGACCAGGAGTAACTCACATTTTTATATACTCCCTTTGTCCTGCAATAATATTTTACATTTTTTTCGTTCATCCAAAAAAAGTTTCATGTCCTACTTTCGTAAAAGTTTATGGCCCATATGATTTCACTCTCCTCGGCATCATTTTCAATCATTCAATTTAATTTCTTTTTAAATCTCGTGTCCAGTGAATTGTGGAACATTACTGAAGGACAGAGTGGTCTTGAACATTTTAGATATCGGTATGTATTGTACAATTGTGAGATTCATAAATGGGAGTATTATAAATATTTAATTTTTGAATTAACCTATGGATACACCAACATGGGGTATCCCATATGTACATCAAGCTAACATAGACACAAAATGTTTGTGGTGTATAGATATTTTGTGTCTGTGTTGGCTTGGTGTACAAATGGAGTATCCCAAGTTGGTGTACCCCTAGGCCCTAGCATTGCCCTTAAAATTAATAGAATTCATAAATTGGGCTTGTGAAGACTACATATGCAACGGAATGGAGGGTTAAAGACGCTTTGCCGTCTTCAAGCTGTGCACGCAACATTTTTGGGAGTTGGAACACAAACAATTACACGCCGTCTTTCGACTTAAAAGTGTATTTTCTCAGCATATTCGTGACAAAATTCATTAAACAACAACTAATATTACAACATTACACATAAAAAATTATAATATTATAATTAATTAATGTAATAGTTGCCTTAAAAATTAACTTTTTAATTTTCTTATTAAAAAATATAATATAGTTATATGTATTACTCGTGAAAAATTAAAAATGTTGAGCCGGTAAGGCACCTTGGCCTACCCTTGGGCCGGCCCTGAAATTGGAGCATTTTTTCAATTAGTGAAGAGGGATGCGAAAGGTTGTTGTGATTAGTAACAACTACAGCAAATTATATAGTATATCCCGATATATCTTCCTCTTAGTAAATACTCCATCCGTCCTAATTCTTTCTTCCCAATTTGACTTTTCCACATTTTTAATTTTTGTCTTTGACTTTAAATTTTACACTCCTTAAAAAAGATTTTTTGAAATTTTTTTTGCAATCATTCAAAATATAGAGTTAGAAGATAATTGGTGTAAGTACATGAGGGTATTAATGTCATTTGTCATCTTTTTTTCTAATGAGAAGGTAGTTTTAGGACAGGGAAAAAGAGGAAGTGGGAAAAAAGTTTTAGGACGGAGGGAGTATATCCAGATATATCTTCCTCTTAGTAAATTATGACAAGTTTTTAATTAAAATTTATGCTAGAGGTGAGCGTAGTATAATATGATACGGTATTTAGCTCGTACTGAAATTGTACCAAATATTTCGATTCGGTATGAGATTTTACGTAATTACGTCATACCGATCCCGAAGTATTGGTTTGGTATGATTCAGTAACGGTTTCTATACAAATCCGGATGAATATAAACTTGTCTAATTTATACCATAAAATGTAACAAAAATTTTTATTTTTGAAAAATCAAAAGTACATATATGAATAATAAAATGCAAGAAATGCTAATTAAAGTTAGTTTATATTTCACAAACTAAAGAGAATGAATGATAATAAAATATTATTTGAAATGTTTGTTAATATTCTTATAGTCATTTACAAAAAATTTAGAAACTCTAATTAAAGGTCAATTTACACATAATAAAATTAAATTAAATTTTCAAAATTAATTTATTATTTAATGGAGAAATATAAAAAGATTATACTTTTTATAATATATTACGGAGTAGTATATATCTTCGATTCTGAAATTTCGGTATGAGAAGTAACCTCGTATCGTTTCCAAATACCAGACCGATCGTTCGGTTCGATATGGTTTGGTTATTTTGTACTCTCTCCGTCCTTAAATATTTGACACACTTATATTCCCGAAGCAAAATATCTAGTTTTTTCAATTCATTTTATTTACATATTGGTATAGAAATAAAAAATAAAGTTTACATATCAAAAAACTACATGAAAAATTCTTCGAAATAAAAGGTATCAAGAATATTTTATTTTATCAAATAACTAATGAAAACGTAGATATAAACAATAGTTCCCGCGACTGCTGAAAAAGCAAACATTGTAAATAATTTGAAACGGAAAGAGTAGTATTTTATCAATTTGATAATTTTCACTTTGTCATTCTCAATTTTTACAGAAAATATCGAGATCAGTTCAATTCTTGCTTATGTCCCATTTTAATGTAAGCATGGGAGTAAACAAAATGTAGGCATGGGTAGTTGGGTCCAGGCTTACCTATGAAAGCGTGAACTTCTAGCAACAGAATCGATCCCATTATTGAATTCGTAAAGGAAAGACGCTCCTTCTCTCATGGTTCCACCCAAAACACACTCTTTTCAAACTCTCCAATCACAAATTTCAGTGGGAAATGCCTGCCATCATCACTTGGGGTTGTCTTCTTTCAGTGTTTCTCCTTGCCAGCAGTGTTGATTGTGGCAAAGGGTATCCAAATTTGCAGCAGCAGAAACTGGATGAAGTCTTGGAGTTGCCAGGCCTGGGCTTCAATGTCAGCTTTGCCCATTTCTCTGGGCATGTCACTGTGAACCAGGAGTCTGGCAGATCTCTCTTTTACTGGTTCTTTGAGGCTGTGGATGACCCATCTTCCAAGCCTCTTGTTCTTTGGCTCAATGGAGGTCCACATCTCTTTCTCCCTTTTTCTTCTTTATCATCATATCTCTTGTTAGATTATAAAAATCTTTATTCAATTCCCAGCAGCCTCTTGTTTCTTGCTTCTCTAACCATCTTCAAGTTCTTGGTTTAGTGGATTAATTGCTTGACATGTTAAAAAGCCAACCTTTTTTTCATGAAGAATCTTCGCTACTTCCTTTGTTTGAGCAAACTTTTCCTTTCTGAATTGGATACCAAACAAAAAAAAGTTGCAAACTTTCTGTCATATGTATGAATCTTCAGTTTTACCTGGTTCAATTTTGTGGATGGTTTTTTTTGTATGACTCTTTGCAGGGCCTGGATGTTCATCAATTGCATTTGGGTTGGGTGAGGAAGTTGGGCCTTTTCATGTTGAGAAAGATGGGAAGACCCTGTACTGGAATCCTTACTCTTGGAACTTAGGTTTGTAATTCTCATGATTTGTGTTTCTGTCAAACATGGAGAATTTAGTGTAGCATTGAGGTTCAGGGCTTGTTTGGTAGTGGTAAGTTTTGGCTGGAACAACTAAAGTTGCTCAAATTGTTGGGTTGGCTGACTGAAATATCTACTACAAAAAATGGCTCATAAGCAGGATAATTAGTCTACCAAACAAGCCCTTGATACTTAAATCTTAAAATTACCAAAGTATAGGGAAACATGATCTATCATTCCGAAACAAATGATGGCTTTTTAGGCAATTTGCGAGGGCAATCCAAACTGACCTTTTTCTTCTTTAATTTTTCTTATTTGCAGTTGCTAATCTGTTGTTCATCGATTCTCCTGTTGGGGTCGGTTATTCGTATTCGAACACTTCATCTGATCATCTTAACAATGGTGATAAAAGGACAGGTACAATTTTGGCCTCATTTTCTATGCCTTTTTTTCTTAACCTTACTCCCTTTCACAAATTGACTGCTAAACGTCCACATTTTGTGTTACAGCCGTGGATTCCTTAGAGTTCTTACTGAAATGGTTTGAAAGGTTTCCACAATACAAAGGAAGGGATTTTTATCTCACCGGAGAGAGCTATGCTGGTTAGTTACTTCTTACTTGTATCCTCATCATTCAATGTGATGCTATTGTAAAGCAAGCATAAATAAAAACTGCTCCAAAACCTATTTGTAAACAAACTTTTGGGACCAAAAGCTCCCTTAAAGAGATACTCCCAATGACTGGATTTAGTTGTCCATTTTTCCTTTTTAGTGGATCCGCATTTAGTTGTTCACTATCCATATTTTGTAAACAGATTATGGTCGATAGAATATTAGCATTGTTGGCACCAATTAATGAGAAACTCACTTAAAGAACTTATTTGATATTTCACTCTCACTCCTTAAATATGATGTTTTTTGAAAGTGGACAACTAAATTCGTCCATATGAAGCATTTACCAAACCGTTGTAATAGCCATTGTTTAGCCCAAAAAGCTCATTCGCAAACACCCGTCTCTCTACTTACATTCCCTATTGGTTGTTTTTTGTTTTGTTTTAGGGCATTATGTTCCTCAGCTAAGTCAGGCCATTGCGAGGCACAATGCTAATGCAAAGGACAATGTGATCAACTTAAAGGGTTTCATGGTACGGTACCTCTTCCACAAATCAAAAGACCCACCAATAAAGTTGCATTCTTTTTCAGCAAACCATTTTTAAAAAAAAGTGTGTTTTCTTGTTAAACACAGGTTGGAAATGCTTTAACAGACGACTACCACGACCATTTGGGCCTTTTCCAATTCTTGTGGGCTTCTGGTCTGATTTCTGATCAAACATTCAAGCAAGCAAACCTTTTGTGCGACTTCCAATCGTTCGTTCACCCCTCAGAGAAATGTGATGAGATATTAGACATTGCAAGTGCAGAATATGGAAATATTGACCCTTACAGCATATTTACACCAACCTGCACCACAAATGTTAGCATAATGAACAGCATATTTAAAAGAAGTGATGTAAGTGCCTAGTACATGTTTCTTCTTTTAAAAAAACTAAGTGATTTTTTAGTACTATAATTTTTCTATTAATTTCGGAAGAAATAGCTAACTATGACTACAACATACTCCATATACCAAAATCAGACCTTCAATGTTTTTATACCAAAATATAACTTAAAATGCAAAATAATGCCAAAAATACTGTGAAATGTCATCACACAATGCCAACTTGTAAGCGTTTCACAGTCCAACACTCCCATTTAGGAGATAAAACATAGAGCTCTTATTTTGGTAAAAGTTTCATGTTTTAGTCTTATTTAGGCAGTTTTCTTTTAAAAATTTTATATGACAATTAAATATTGATGATCGATATTGGTTTATAATATGTCTTGGCTTGAAAAAATGAAATTTTATTATTTTATTTTATTTCCACTTGAGGTGTTGTTTCAACAGAAGGTAGGTCTGCTGAGAAGAAGCTATGATCCCTGCACAGAGAAACACTCAACTGTCTACTTCAACCTTCCTGAAGTTCAAAAGGCTCTTCATGTTCATACCCGAAACTCTTCATTTAAATGGATAACTTGCAGGTATTATACCCAAACCGTCGTGTTTATATTGTTCGAGTTCCATGCGAGCTTATACTTCTTGTCTTCATCCCATTAAATACGGCCTGATTACATACTATGAAAATTCTTTCTGAACATTTGTTTTAATTGTGTTACTGCCTTTACACTGCAGTAATGAGGTATATGAGTCTTGGAAGGATTCTCCTGGGACTGTGTTGGATATCTATCATGAACTTATAAGTTCCGGGCTTCGCATTTGGGTGTTCAGGTTTTACCTCAACTTTCTTCTCACAAGCTCCCTAGCTACAACTTATTTTCACTTATTTCTCTGGCAGTAATATGTGGTTAAAGTACATGTTCTCTTCATTAAGGGTAAATGTAATGCTTAAAAATTGAATCTTTTTTTACCCGCATCATATGATGGTGTTATTATTTTCTTTGTTTCTTGGTGACAGTGGCGATACAGATGCTGTGATCCCTGTCACGTCGACGCGTTATAGCATTGACGCTCTCAAACTCCCCACTATTAGTCCTTGGCGCGCTTGGTATGATAATGGACAGGTATTCTCACACTATCTTATTCCCTATATGCACTTCCCAAATTGTTTTGGAAGACAAGAAAAGTTGTTCCAAATCAACTTGGATACTGTACTAACTCTACCATTTTGTTTACAAAGTGTTAAGGAACCAACTCAACATGTCACCTCACGAGGAAGTGAGATTTGATTTTTATTTTTACTCGAGTCTCGCACGTGACCATTGTTTTTTTTTCAAATCTGGGTGGCACTGAGATTTGAAATTGTGACTTATAGGGCAACAATGTTTTGATACATTGTTAAAAAACCGACTCAACCATAAGCTTGATAATCTGTTTTCCATATCCAACCATGTATCGTTGAATCAACTTCGATGCTATATGTTGAGGATATAATCTCACACCGAACACTCGGGCTAAAAAAAAGACTCTTACGTAAAGAATATGACTTACTCCTCTCATTGTCAATTGGTTTTGTATTGGAATCTCATAATTCTTCTACACTCTCAAATAGGTCGGAGGATGGACGGAAGAATATGAAGGGCTGACATTTGTTACTGTTAGAGGGGCAGGCCACGAAGTCGCTCTCCACAAACCCAAACTCGCTCTCACGCTCGTCCAGTCTTTCTTAGCAGGAACCTCAATGCCCCGGCTGCAACGTATCAGCTACTTGTGATCCTTTCGTTCTCCCAATGCGACTTTGTGCACGACTTGCTTTTTTTATTGAAAGAATATTGGATCGTAAACATAGAAATGCAAGAAAATGTTTGGCATTGAGTCTGAAAATGTGATGAACAGATACTACATTATAATAGATTCTTATGATGGATGCAAACCACATTCCTCAACTGTATCATATGCTCAATAATAGAAGATTTATGTCCTTGGTCCTTGGACTAAATTTTTTTTCCATCTCTGGTCCTTGTCTTACCCTGATAATAAAATTTTCAGTTATCTAAACGTGTTAGCTCGGAGTAGATATCACTTTTAAAAAAATCTCTCCACATTTTAATATTTTTGTTAGTTTTTGTGTAAATTTAATACTCCCTTTGTCCTATTTTAAATTACATGTTTGCCTTTTTTCTCCGTCTTAAAATAAGTTGCTTATTACTTGTTATCGTAAACTTTTATGAGTAAAATACCTAAACTACCCCTAAAATAAGTCATTCTTCTCCACCTTATCTTCTCATTCATCGTCACCCCTCCTAAAACGTAATGACAATTTCGAAAAATCAACTCTATTTTTTATTTTCCTTAAATATGATCAAAAGTCAAAACAGGCGATTTAAAACGGAACTCAGGGAGTATATTGTGTTCATTTTAAAATGTAGTTTTGACATATCAAATTTGTATAACATCTATTTATATAAATATAAATTTACTAATTGTCAAAGTGTGTAGAAAATTGAGCAAAAAAAAAAAATCAAAACCCGAACAGATTTTTTGAGGGGGAGGTAGCAATCGTTTTTATAGCTATAATGCCAACCCATTGGTTCCAAATTCCAGCAGAAGCCAGGCAATGAAAAAGAATGTCTTCATAGCTTAAATAATTGCAGAATGGGACATGAAAAATAAATGTGGTCCCAATATGAATAATGCTAAAAATTCACTACGGATCATAATTACAAAAAAAATTACAAAAATCATGCGAGCTATAAGATTGTATTCCAAAATATACCCCAAAAGTTTACATTTACATTTTGATTGTTTAATTAATACAAAATGTCAGCACAATCATAAAATTTTGCATTGACATTTGGTATTAGGTTTTTTTTCATAGGAGGTACCCCATCTTTGTACATTGTAACAAAAATATACCTCATCTTCAACTTATAACGAAAAGGTACTCATCTTTAAAAAATGTAACTAAAAGGTATCCCTTTCCGGAATTTCAAGAATCTGGCCGGCGAGCGTACATGTGGCGCTCTACATAGCTTTCTGGTGTACATGTCACATTCCATATGGCTTTCAAATTGACTCGTAATTTATCTAATACTTGATTAACTTTGTATTTAACACATAAGTCAAATTCTTTCTTGTATCGAAAATACGGAGTATATTTTATGGAGAATATTTTAATTTTATTTTTAAATTGTGCTTTCTATAAGGTTTTACTTTTAGTTTTAGCATTTTGAAAAAATTATAATTTATAAGATACTTCATATTTTAAACATAAGTAGCAATAACATTTTAATAATTGCCTATAATATATTTTTAAAGATTTATTAGAAATTTTCTAAAATTTAAATTCTAAAAAATACGTATTTTTATTATTATTACTACTACTACTAAGATCATCATCATTATCGACTATTATTGATACATGTAATGAGTTTTTATAATTTATCTAAGTATATTTTAGAAGAGACGTTTATGCAACATTGTGTTTATTTATCTATTAAAATTCTAACAAAAGATTGTAGATGTTTTAAAATTTAAATAAATTAGAAACATTACCTTTTATATTACAATAAAGAGAAATATTCAAAAAGTAATTGCTAATTTGGTTTAAAATATTTATTAAATATTAAAATATGATATCGTTGTATAAAGAAAATATAATTTTAAAAAAATTAGAACATCACGTACGAAGTTAATAACGTGTATGAAAAGTTACAAATTAATTTAGAAGTCATATGAAATGTAACATGTACACCAGAAAGCTAAGTAGAATGTCACATGTACGCTCGCCAACAGGATTCTTGAAATTTCAGCAAGGTGTACCTTTTTGGTATATTTTTTTAAAGATGAGATACCTTTTCGTTACAAGTTAAAAATGGTGTACTTTTTTGTTACAAAATGCAAAGATGGGGTACCTTCCATGAAAAAAAGCCTTTTGTATTAATATAAGTCATTAATCTCCTATGTACATTAATGTGACTGACTTTTTGAATAAATTTAGAGGTATAATTTTTAGAGTACAAATAAGTTTATTCAAAAAATTAATATATGAATGAACCCTCTAAATTGAACGATCGCATAAGAAATTTTCTTAGTCCATATAAGATAAAATACGACTATTTTAAGTAAAGATTTTTTTTTGGGCAAAAGTTTCCAATCTGGAAGTATCTAAATTAATTATTCTTTACCTAAGTTCTCAACATCTCAAACACATTAACAAATATTTTCTTTCTTAATGGAGGAATTCAGATTTAAATTGGTATCACTTTCTCTAAAAACCAAGTTCTTTAAACTTGAGTTGTTTTTTACAATATCTTTTGCCCTAAATTAGGGAAAATCAACTAAATTGGATAACATATCAAATTATAAGTAAAATAATAACACAATAATCGAAATATAAAAATTTAAAAAAATGTTATAAAATGAAAATTATTTGGTTAGGATTTTATTAGAAAAGAAAAGAGTATTTAATAACCTGATTCATAAAATTGATGATTTCTAGACTTTCTACACCTTAACATCTACTCCAAACCCTTTTCTATTATCGATTGTTTACAATAATATTACTGTATCCAATCGACGATGAAAGGGAGGCACAGAGGCAAAAGGGTTAAAGAATGTAGAAATTATTATTAAGAAATCACCCTAACGATGCATAGCAGCGTCAGAAGAATCGGTATACGAACGAACATGAAGATACTTGATATACTAAATGAATTTCTTGATTGTTTTCATATTAAAGTTATTTCGAAGTATAACAAAGTACTTTGATTGGATAAGACTTTAGTATCTAGAACGCGTATGGAAGTTCTATTGTATCTTAAATATATTCTAGGACTCCACATATATAGAGTAGAAACTGATCGGACGCGTCGGTTGATGAAGCAAGACAATTTTACGTTGAATATTAAATTATTTAGCAAGAACATTCAAATGTATGCAAGAGTTATTCTTAAACATTATGTTTCTATAGTTTTCTATGCAAAACATTGCATCTTATCATGGAAGATTTCAACATTTAAGAGTAAACATGCGAATGTATGTGTTCATTCGCAAAGGGTGTTGGAAGTTAACACTAATATTCGAATGTGTTGGTTCTTACATTTGAATGTTTCCTTAATTTGACTCCGTTTACGAAAATTTAAAGGATCTCCAAAAAAAATAACAATGTTAAAATAAAAAAGTTTGCAGCTCAATTCCAACTAGAGCTCCTGGACCCCACAAAGGGCTACCGCCGCTTAAATCTCGCTACGGAATTTGTAACATTGTTGAACGAGCATCGTGCACCCCGCACCACTCAACTCCTTAACAATGCATATTCACGTCTAATATAAGTAAATTTAATTGTATAAAATAGGCGTTGAAACTAAAATCACCAACTGTGCCTAATATCGATCATCTCATCACATTAGTAACCAAGGTCAAGAAAACCATGCCCAAAGTAAAATGGCTATTATGGACAAGATTATACATTATTGTATGGAGATGTTATGTTGGTTGAATCAGACACAAAGAAGAAATCATTGTGTTTCGTTATCTTGATATGATTTGATGAAGTTTTAATCTGATCTCATTCTAATGAGAATAAATAGATAATAAATAAATAAGTTAAAAGAATAAGGTCTTAGACTCTTAGACTTAAAATAAGATCTTACCCTTAACATCATATACAAGAAAATTTTATCATTTCATATTAGGTCCCATAGGTCAGGCCCTGTCAAATTTTACATTTCATTACAATGGATTTGGGAGGTAGTGACATTTACAAGTACAAAAAATGCTAGGGTACACCAAAATGTGTATGTATCCAAAGCATATCCATCACACGGTGGTAAGTGTTGTTATAAAAAAAATTGCTGTAATTATTATTCAAAAAAACTATTAGAAGTATGTTTAACATTTGGCAATCTACTTGAGACATTTTGAGCTTCAAAGGGTTTTACATCCTTGAGACTTCAAAAAAAGAAGTTCAACATAGATATGCAACCAAATTGTCATTATATCAAAATTAGCTTAATTATATATTTACACACAAAAAAAGAGATCACAATCGACCGAAGTTGCCAGCAAATTGACACTAATTACGAAACAAAAAAAATAAATAAATAAAATGGGGAAAATCAGAGGAATACAGTGAAATTCAAAGAGGAATCGTGTCAGTAGTGAAATTGATCAGAAGCGGCATCCGCAGCAGAGGAAGAAGAAGGCGAGCCTGGACACCAGAACGACGGCCTCCACGAACGAAACGAACCTGAACAGAACCCCGTCCAGGAACCAATTCAGGAACCTCGACGGCCGCCTCGCGGTCTTCAGCCGCCACCGCAGCCCCGCGCTGCGGCCATCTCCGCCGGTCGAGCGCCTCGCGGTCAGCCGCTTGAAGGTGAACCAGTGCCCCGTCTTCTTCAACATTCGGGAGGTTTCGTGGAATGGAATGGAACGGAATGGAATTTCTCTCTCTCTCTCTCTCTTTCACTGTTTGTGCGGGGAGGATCGAGGGGATTTATGGAGGAGGAAAAGGGGGTGAAGAAGAAGAAGAAGGAGGGGATTTTGAGACGTCCGTCCGGCGAAGTTGCGCGTGGGATCGTGCGGTTGGGGGTGCGGAGGGGAGTATAAAAAAAGGAGATTTGGGGATTTTGGCGACTCACCTTCCTACTCGGTTTCCACATCATTTCATCATACTTACAAGTTACACCCAAGTTGAACGGGTAGGTTTTGCGTAATTGGCAAGACAAGAGATACTAAAAGCATTGACAATGGCGAGTATTGTAATGGAATGCATTGGATGAGTGGATGACGTGTTACCTTTCAACCAATCAAATCAAGCGTGCAAAGAGTGTGGCATTCCATGGTTTTGCAATGGCAAGTCAGGCGTGGCACGGCAAAATTGGAGATCGCGGATGGCGGAGGGGCAGATCTGGGGTTGCAGATCTAACTGTGGCGGAGGGCTTTGAATTTGCCTCGCGGATGCCTCGCAAAGCAGACACGCATGGCAGACTCCTCCTCTCTCTTCCCACGCTGCTGCCAGAAGCGGCTCTCCTCTCGTGGCAGGGCGAGACAATTTTTTTACTCGCCCCTGCCAATGCTCTAAGGGGTAAGACTCGAGTTCCATTCCGGATAACTATATTGCGAGACAACTGTATTTAGCTCGAGTTTCTGCAAGTAGCAGGTACATGCACTAATTTATCTTCTCTCAGTGACCGTCTGACCAGATTTGAGGGTGTCCTCGAGAATGGGCTCATCTTTTTTTAAAGTTGATATTCTATTCGGAATAAATGAAAATACTAAAAAAATTTAAGATAAATAATAAATTCAAATAGAGTAAGTACCGTATCCTTTTTAATGATATTTCTCTCGTCTCAAAATGATTTACCTTATTTGAACGGTGCAAGAAAATTTTGGTGAATTTAAAAAAAAAACATTTTATACAAAAGAAAACATTACAATAAAGATGTACTCTCTAAATTATTTTGCAATGTGTGAATCAGTTTGGGATGAAAAGGATATAAAAATAAATGGAGAATAAAATTAGAGTATAGCAATAATTATACATTGGATTTAATTGAGATGACGGAGGCATCAATTAGGGAATAACTATATTGGGTTCTTCAATTGGGTCTTCTTATTAATTTAAAAGATCTCTTTAANCCCCCCCCCCCCCCTCCCTAGTAAACCCAATATTAGCCCGGCCTGAACTGATCCTTAAAGATTCCAATTTAAATTAACTCTGGAGTCAAATTTGAGGGAGCAATTGAAAAGGGTGGAGAGCATTATCACAGGTTACGCGGGTAGGTATCATCAACTTTTTGAACCAACATCTGTAGGGACCTCAATTAAAGCTTGGATCATAATATGACATTGGGATTTAATGTCGCATGAACCCTTCTGATAAAGGATTTATCTTGTTCGAACAACATGAAAAATTTCGTGACTCTTAAAATAATTCTATTTACAAATTATTATAGAAATATAAAATATAACTTACATATTTAAGAATCATATCAAAAGTTTTACATAATAAGATGTGAAAAAAATTCTTTATTTTATCCAATGCTCAATTAAATTATACAAATAAAATAAAAATTATCGAGAAATGATAATAATAAAGATACATATTATTTTTGGGAGATGTAAATTAATTTAGCACGAAAGGAGTAAAAAAAAGTATTGGGGAATAACGTTGGAGTAAAGGAATTACTTTGTAATTTGTCCGTTAGAGAAGAAAAAGATTGGAGAATAATTCCATGTTTCCACATAGCTTTACACAAGTTTGACTTGGAGTGGAATGGGAAATCAAAATAATAACAGAAAATTGTTCTCTTCTAGTTCGACGGCTAATGAATTTCCACTCTTTCTTTTTACTCCACGCGTCTCCAATTCACCATGTTTTATCATCAAATTTGTTTTTAAATAAATGTGTTTATGGATGTTAATTAGGGTTGTCAACGAATAGCCAAAAATTTGATTACCGTCCGCATCCGTATCTGTTTAAAGAGGAAATATTTGTATTCTTTTAAACGGATATTATCTGTATTCGATTAAGAATATACGATTACTAAACGGACACGGATTTTGTAATTGTATATCCGATCCGAATATACATCCATTTAAATAACTGCTCATCCGAATATCTGATCTGTTATATATAATTTTTCCTAATTTTTATGTTTATATATATTTTGTTTCTTTATTGATATTTCAAAATATAAGACATCCTTATATACAATATAAATGTGTAGACACATAAAAATATGTACATACATATAAAAATAAGTCTATATGTGTGTTGTGTATATATCTTTTTATCATATGAAATTATCCTGGAATATCATAAATCATGAAAACAGGAAAAATAATTATCCTATAACAAATTATAGTTGCTTTAATAATAGTTTGACTTTAATCAAATTTAAAATTAAAGTATTGTTTAATTTTATTTTAAAAATTATAAACGGATACGGATATATATGATATCCGACCGATATCCGACGGATGCGGATACGATTTTGATTTTCAATATCCGTCAAGATTCGTATTCGAATTCGATATCCGACAAAAATAAACAGATGCGGATTTGGTAATGGCACATCCGATCCGATTTATATCCGTTTACACCCCTATTGTTAATTCAACCTTATTTGACTAAATTTACCTTATTTATAAGTTATTTTTCTTGTTTCACTCTTTTAGGGATTTTTGATATACATTTAACATATTTTGTACGCATACTATTTTATGCAAAACAAGATTCATATGATATGAATTTTGAAATCTATAGAGCGATACAGAGATATTTTACAAAACAAGGGCGACAAGATTCAATTTTATAAAAGTATTTTGAGAAATTTTATGGCATGTTGGGATTTGTCTCTTTTACAGAGAGAAGTGAATTTGACAAGCCGTAACACTATTCCTCGACCCCAGCAAATGTCATTGATCACTGCGCGGTGGTTTTCCTATCAGTTACTCCCTTCGTCTCAAAAAAAATACTCTTTACTATTCAAAACTTACGCAAGGGATGGCCGACGACAATAAGTTATCAGCGACACCAGCAGTTGTTTTTAGAGAGATATGTCAAAAATCAGAATCTCAAAAACATCGAAAGTTTTGGTGTTCCAAGTGTTTTAGAGCCAAGCTAAAAATGGCCACAATTTCCATTTCCAACAACACAAAGTGTTTTATCTTTTCCAAATTTAGAGGGGAAAAATGGAAGAAACTCTTTTTTATGTATGGGTAAAAAGACAAACCAAATCCAATGTCTTGAAAATGCTAAATGTAAGTAGTTCAGCCATGCAAACCTTCACATTCATGAGTTAGAATGATTTCCCCTGCAACAAATACTTATTCAGACAGATCATCTTCTTCTTCCAATCTTTTCTTCTTCAAGAATATCCGTCTCTCGTCTTTGTTCGCCTACTGAGCATACTCAAATATGCACTCCCCATAGCCTGCAGAATTGCAGTCGAAAACGAAAATAATGCAACTTCAAGATTACGAAACGAAACAAAAGAAACGCAATATATATACACTTGGGAGGGTGTTTTTTTTAGTTTTTTACTTGGATCAGTGACTGCAATAACTGCTGTTTTTCTGAAATCACAGTTCCAGTAGTTTGCCCCTGATTTCTGGTAGTAGAGATTCATGGCGAAAGATGCATGGTTGATTAGAGTATCGGGGTAGAAGCAAGGGCCACCCTGTTGGGTTGCAGTGCAGTTCACCACATTACAAGCATAGATGAGGTTGGCCATGAGCTCTCGGTCACTCGTCGAAGGCCTTGGAAGGCACCAAGAACCCTGCAATGCAGCCATTCCTTGTCAATGGTCAAGAAAAATAGGGTATTTTGTTAATATCTAAGAGTCTAATTCTTACGACCCACGCATAACATTGAAATTATGATAGAAATTTATAGCTAAGGGTATTCTTTTTATAGCGGGTGCATGTTAACAAACGAAAAATTTCTCAATTTCCAATGAAAAAAAATTCCTCTTTTGGTTTGTTAAGATGTAGAGTGGCAACTATCTCTTTAAATATCTTTCACTTTTTCTTCAACATACCTGTCCAGGTGCTTGTGCATTTGCAAGCCTTGTCATAATGCCTGATAAATAATGCGAAGTACTAAAACTGTATTAATTCAGACTCAAAAAAAAACAATTTTTTTTTTGAGTTCAGTCCACCAATAATTGTGAATTTGGAAATCATAATAAATTCCAAGGCAGAGAAGAGAACGGGCAACAGGTACCTGAACTCGAGAGTTGAAGAAGGAGCAGAGTGAAAATGGGGAAGAAACGAGACAAGTCTGCCATGGATGTAAGTTTGACAAGTAAAAGCTCAAATCGAATGAGAAAGTTTTGAAAGTTCACTGCTGGAATAAGGGAGAGACTTGGAGAGGAATCACATTTATAGCATGCAAAACGCCCACAGAAAGTCCATAAACTCATGCATGCACACTGAAGTTATGATTCACCTTTGTCACCAGTTTTACAAGCATAGCATATAAAACTTATGTCCAATGTAAGTTTACCCCATATTTTTAATATTTAGCTGATGTAGAATGGCTTTAAAATACTCCGTGGCATTAAATTTATGGCGCCATTTAATTGTATAAAATTAAGTAACACTATACACTGATGCACAAAAAAAAAGTGGTGGCAATGTTTTGTGTTGGATGACGGATGCCCTTCCCCGTGGGAACCTTCATAACATGAAATAATGAGATGTAGATTCTAAAATCATCATCATTAGAGGTTTACTTCTACATGCATGGAAAATATCATAAGACGACGAGCTTGGATATGTGTTATTGTCACGTTCCATTAAAAAAAAGCATTCCTTTCTTTAGAAATACTGTTACTGGTTTTTTATTAAACATGGGTACTCATTCATTGTATTTATCTTTTCAGATTAGTTAGGTCATACCATATGACTGCCAAGCAATTCCAAAGCAACAACAAAACAATAAACCGTAAAAAAACACTTATTGGTACCCAATGTCACACTAAAATGGTATTCATAGATGATAAATTAGATAGATAATAAGATAATAAAACTGAAATGCCATAGAGAAGTGCCATAGAAAACTGAAAGTTTGAGGCTAAAAGAGGTTGGATTGAACATCAAAAGGAAAGGAAAACGAAAACAAACACAAACATATTTGTTAATCATGTGAGATGATTAAACAGTTTTCTTATTTCAGGTTAATAATAGTTGAATATTAAAAAATTAAATTATATTTCTAAATTTACAAGTAATGAGTTTAAGGGAAGATATATTAGGACTTATTACCGAAATATAGGAACTCCAATGTACCAACAGAAACCCAATGAGGTCCCACAAATAGGGTCTGTAAGAGTAGGTATAACCTTACTCCAAGTACATAGAGTAGAGAGGCTTTTACTAGTAATAACAAATTCTCAAGATCCCACATTTAATACAGGATGACAAACCAATTGTCATTTTCGACTAATGGGGCTAAGAAAATTACTCCACCTTTCATTTTAAAGGTGTACAAAATTAGTTGTCTTTACTAATATAGTACAGGGAAAACGAATGAATTCTCTTAAATAACCACAACTGTCACAGTATGAAGTATGCTACAATTACTAGGGGAAGAACCTGATTTTACTTGGAAGATTTTGTCATTTTATATCAAAGCCTTTTTTTAAAACCAATATCAAATCCTTAATTTAAGGGGTTGTGACAATGGGAAACTGATTCCGGGCAGAGGGAGTACAATATAACAAAACTCATATTTATACATGACATTTCAAATATTGGGTCAATTAGAAGAGACTGGTAGGAGATCAATACGATCAAGTGCAATATGGGTTGTCATACCGGCCTTCAGACCTATGATCTCTCCATAATGGCGTATTGGCATCAGATGCATAGTGAAATTGCACCTAATTGGAAAGCAAACACACATCGAATTGAGTAAGGAACGGCACATGCCCCAAATTTGAGTCCGTTAATCATTTTTGGAGCATTATATATCAAAACATTCAATCTCACATAGTAGAACACACTTCTATTTCATAATGGTCCAAATTGTTAAGGAATCACATTGGTATTAAAACTCAAAAATGGCCTACTATAAGCCTGCTTGGCCTCATTTTCCAACATTAATAATGTCTCTCAGATCATCCACTACACTAAATGTTCTGGACACAATTATACATAGTAATTGGTTTGAACTTGAACAAAAGCTTTTTATTGTTAACAGAAAGAAACTCCATTTAGGTTTAATAAAATGTAAAAGATTGTTCAGTTCATGTTTTCATGACCATGATGTTGTATTATACATTCACTTGTGGGTTAATTATCAGGTTAGCTCTAGATCACTGTACTATTCTCTAGGTTCTATCTGAATTATGCATTGGGTTTAACAACAACAACAACAACAACAACTCAGTATGATCACAGAAGTGGAGTTTGGGGAGGGTAGGTATACACAGACCTTGACCCCTATCTAAAAAGGTAGAGAAGATTGTTTCAAAGGCCCTCAGCTCAAGAAAACATAAAAACCATGGAGAAGCTAAAATTTGCATCCTTACAAAACATTACCATCAATTTTTATAAACTATAGGGTGAAGATGGTTGTTTCACATGAAGTTATACAAATGCTGATATATCATACTCCATATATATTACGAGGGACAAGACCACAAGTGAGACGACTATAAACCTTCTTCCTTTAAACCAACAAACACTCTCAAAGCAATGACAATATACGTATAAGATTGAAACCATTTAAGAAGCAAGAGTATACCTCATTCGTGTGGTGGGTCATTCTGCAAGAACTCATCAATGGTAGAAGGGAACTCAATGCCATCAGATTCCTCATTGTTCATAGAATTCAAAAATGCAGCTTTTCCCAAGAGCAAATGAGCCAACCTCAGAGGCTCTCTCCTCTCTCCCTCACCATTCAAGAAATGTTTGATCCACCCGTCCAACCTCTCAAATTCCTTACTACTCTTCACACCCTTCACCCCAACAACATTCCCATAAAACCCATCATCACAGCCCAATTCCTGCCCAGCTCTTTGGCAGGACCCTCCCTCTTCAGACCCAGAAAAGCCCAAAAGCTGCATCAGCAGATCTATATCGTCAACAACATTCCCTTCAGCTTTGCCTGCTGTTTCTTTAGGTGGGTCTTCCTCTACACGGGTCGGGACGAAATCTGTGGAATTCAAGAACTCTTGGGGAACTTCGCTTTCCTGGATATTTGAAGTGTTTGTGGGTTGGGGTAAGGAATGGAGGAACAAAGGACTGCTCAGAGACTCAGAAGAAGTCCCCGATACGATTTCTTGCTGGTTTTGTGGGGTTTCAAGTTTCAATCTTTTCTCCAACCGCTTGAGGGAAGAGAAGAAATGGGAATGGGGGGAAGGCGGTTGCATTCTGAGGGTGTGAATTCCTTGTGTCAGGCGACAATGGGAACCCTGAATTTGTATTATTCACCGGCAATCACTCCATTAATCTGCTTGGGTCGATGAAGAAGAAATTCAAAAGTCTGCTTCTTCAGTTTTAACAGTGAAAATAACTCCAATTGGAAGGGGTGGGGGCGTGTTCACGTGGGGGCGGGGTGGGGATTTACGGGTTAGGAACCGTGTTTTTTTGCCTGCTGCTTCTTCATAATTTTTTTAAATGGATGGTTTCAATATATCTTAAATTTGGGAGATCAATATGGGGGTTCTCTGATGCCGGTTATCATTGTTATCGCCAATCACCTATGTTGTCGGTTACCCACGCATATCACTAATAAAATAGTAATTTTAAATTTTTCAAACAACTTCGTTTCAAATTTCAAAACTCATAATTTTCTTAAATTTCAAAACTCATATCTTATAATACATTCAAATTTTACGAAATGGTCATTGAATGACACAGTAAAGGGTTAATAAAAGGGTAAATTTGAGTTCGATTCTTGACAATTGCGCGCTCTATCCTTTTCTTTTATTCATTATCATTACATGAAATCCTCAATGACCAAATTTTGGAAACTTAGGCTACAAAAAAACTGTAAAGCAGGAGATATAGTTGACATTGAATTTATAGAAATCATCCTAAATAGGACTAAAACATAAAGAAAAGTACCAAAATAGGACTTTCATGTTTTTTTTCCGGAATAGGACTTTGCACTATGGTAATGTGACTTTGCATTGTGGTAATTTGGCAGTGTACATGTGCAAATTACTATACTTTTTTGGTAATGTATATGACCACGTTTGGTAATGTAAGTCCTATTTTGGGATTAAAAACATGAAAGTCCTATTTTGATATATTTTCAATGTTTTAGTCCTACTTTGGTCTTTCTCCCTTGAATTTAGAGTCTTCAAAATAAAACTTGGTCTCTTAGAGAAGGACTTAAAAAAGGTCGAGTAGTATCTTTATCTTTGGGATGTAAACGGAGGTGATGTTTAATTATTATTTTAATTTATAAAAATATTTGACTAATTTGGATATTTTGGTATAATTTCAAATGTTTGATAATTCCTCCATTAATTTCTCACTTTTCTTTTTTGATCGTCTAAAAATTTCTTTTCCCTTTCCTATTTTGGAAATAAAATTTAAATAAATGTTCCATTATACTCCTACTTTTTTTATCTACACTATTCACTTTATTTTATTACATTAAGGATAAAATATGGAAAGTCATTACATTTTTAACTTTTTTTAACCTCCACACCAAGTCAAACCAGGAAACAAATTTTTGGACGGTGGAAGTACTTTTTACTAATACTAAAAAATAATAAGTGTGTGCAGGTCTGTACACAATTGAGTTGCAAAAAAGAGGTTTGCCTCATGCACATATTTTAATATGGTTCCACACAGTTAATGGCGAGTCTATTTTTTGTCCTATTTTGGTTCGGTTATTATTGATTGTCGGGGGTTGATATCTGAGTTTAATTATGCTTCTTTGTCGTTTGTTCCTCGGTCATCTAATGTGGTAGCTCATGTATTGACTAAGAGGGTTATGGTGGAGACTGAGGATTGGTATGGTACTCCACCTGATTTTGCAGTGCCTTTTTGAATGAATGAAAAGTTGTTTTGTTTTATCGAAAAAAAATTATGGTTCCACACAAAAGATAAATTTCAAACACCTGAGGCTATCGATTTTGTGATTTCTATTGTGTTGCCAAACAAAAATAATTTCTTTTGAATGTTTAAACTTTGAAGTAGTCACTCGATTAATGGTGCATGATCCTTGTTGAGTGGAAGATCGTTAATCCCCTTGAAGGTAAATCATAGTTATCAAGGTGTCGCCTAGGCAATGCTTAGGCGTCTAGGCGAGGTTTATGGATGCCAAATTGGTCGGCTAGCTTTTTTTGTGGAAACACGGGAGAAGAAGATGACATGAAGAAGCCTGAGAGAGGACGAAGGAGTAGAAGAAGATCCGAAGAAGACGGAAGGGAGAGAGACTTACTGTTGGAGGAAGATCGGCTTTACCTTCCTCGCCAATGTTGATTCATTGTCGCGAGATCTCCAGCGGCTTCCTCTAAACCCTCCCACACTCTCTAGTTATTTAAGTAAACTATTTTAGGCTAAGTTTATTAAAGAGTAGTGGGCCGTTACACTTATTAAGTATATGTCTTTATTAAAAGAGCATTGGGCTCAAAATTTGATTTCACTTTAAAAAAGTTTAAAAAGTCCACTAACTTACTAACTTGTGTTAAAAGTTTAAATCATTTTTTAAAAACAACATTTCTTCATATATTTTAGAATATATAGTCTTTAATTTTTTTTGGGTACATATGTACTCATTAATGCCTATAAAATTATTAAGGTTGTCATAGCCCACTCATCTAGAGGACACCTAGGCAGGCGCCTAGTTGTTTAGGCAATTGGAAGGTACCCTAGCGTCTAGACTCGCCTAGCCTCCGTAACAACTATGATGTATATGCAAGAAATTCTTTCCAAAAAATTTTGTTGAAAAAAAACAAATTTGATGATAACGGCTACCCAGTATACATAAGAAGAAACATAAGAGTCTCCACCATGAGGAAGGACACGGAATTGAAAAATAGATTTGTTATGCCATACACCCCAGAGATGTTGATGAGATATCAAGCTTACATCAACATTGTATATTAGAACAAATCAAACTCTATCAAATACTTATTTACATATGTCAATAAAGGCCCAAAATGAGTAACTGTTGCAATGAAACAACCTTCAAGTGAATCAATTGATCAAGTGATGTATGATGAAACAGAGAAGTATTATGATTGTCGTTACCTGTCAACGTGTGAAGCCATTTGGACGGGGAAAATAATTGTCACATTGAGGGGCAAAGAAAGAATTAAGGATGTTATTCAAAAAAATGACGAGGGACTTTCAATGTTCGAAAGTTGGATGTTTGCCAATGCAAAGTACAATGAGGGACGCATTTTGACTTATCCTAAATTTCTAAGTCATGTATGAAAAAAAGAGCAACAATGAATTCCAAGACAACAAAGGCCATCAATAGGCCAACTATAACATATGCCCCCCCTCCCCCCCGTACTGGAGAATTTTACTATCGGAAAATGTTATTAACTATCCAGCGAGGATGTACAAGTTATTAGAGCTTGAGGATAATAAAGAAATGTGTACATGACTCATTTGAGGATGCATGTGAAAGCCTCTGCAATGGCTATGGTGCAGCTCAACGGCAGACTAGAGAATGTGTGATGGTGGGAGCCTCTGCCATGACCAAAGACGATGCTTCCAGAAGGGCTAGCCAAACGATGTTGAGTTGGCTGGTGAATGGCTGGCCTCAAGATGAAGAGGAAGACGATAAGGGGCTGCCTCTGGACGAATGAAGAAGACGACCAAAACATTGTTGTTGGACAAAAGAAACTGAAACCCCCCGTGGGCACGGATACGAGAGTAGAGGAGGGATTTTGAATTAAAATTTCGAGTTCCCTTCTTTCCTCATTTTTTTTAACCAAACAAGGGGGATTCATTTTCACTCCCCTCCCTTCCCCTCCAACCAAATAGACCCTAAGGCACCATACACTAGCCATCAATGTCAAAAGAACCTACTTCTATTAATGCTTAACCTGAATTTAGAAAAAAGGCTCATACTATAATAACTTATATATAGACCTAAGATTCAGATAAAAATGTATCATAATACAAAGAAGGAAAAAACAGCAAAATAGTACAAATGTTAAAAGGCCTCATCCCTACCTTTCTTCTCACAAGAGTATAGAAAGCAAAAGCTTTCACATTAGACAATGAGAATGGGAAAAAAAAGTAATTTTTACATTAGACTATGAGATTCTTTGGCAATGGCCAATATAATATTGTGATGTTTGTATTCCGACCACCCCAAAATCAGATAAATCAATACAATACTTATGTTCATGAAAAAGGCTTAATATATTAGTGTTTACAAGAATATTCACAACCACAGGTAACAACAATGGTGAGAGCAAAACTTGTGGCAGACAAATGTGTAAATATATATATCTACCTGGTAATGGTATATACGTTTCAAAGAACTGAAATGACACAGTTATGATTTGATTCTGGTTTCTGAAGCTTCTAATGTCTCATCCCATCTTAACCTTTAAATGAAGATTTTTCTTCGGCACCACAAAAAGCTCAGACAATTGAAAGCGCAACTGTCATGGCCAGCTTTCTTTCCGGTTTAATCTTTTGGTCTAGGCTGGGCAAATGTAGTGATTGTTCAATGGTGGCTTTCCATTAGATCAGCAAGGGTGATCCTCCCACAATTGCCCGAATCCAACCTTTCAAATTGTTTGCAGACCAGAAAAATATCTTTCTCGGATATCTTTCCCATCTCCTTCAGCTTGTATACTATGTATTCTGATTTACTGCCAGAAATCACACAAGGAAAAACATTTGATCTCGCCATTTGGTTATAAATATTACTCAGTCCCTAAAAAACTTCTTACATTCCTTTTTCAGGTGTCCCAAAAAAGTTCTCAATCTATATAGGGAAAGTAATGAGTGGCTCGCATTATTTCTGTCTCCTTCGCATAAACTTCCACCATACAATTTCACTTTTTCTTAAAGTTGGTAAAAGAGCAAACAGAAACTTCTTTAAGGAAAGTGGGAAAACACTTTGAAGCAAAAGTAAATTATGAATATTGGAACAAAAAATTGAATGGTTAAGAAGAATCTCATTAGACTTCTCCTACAGGCTACAGTATCAAGTTACATCAACTTACTAAAAGAATATGAAGGCTTGTGATTTGTGAAGCTGAATGTTTATGCAGTGTGAATGCAATTTCACCATCTATTCATTAAAGACGCCTTATTCTTGGGAAAACTCACCATAAATCACTAGACTGTTTACTTAATCACAAAACATGCCCTCCCTCATAGTTATGACTTCTGACAGATTGGACAACTTTTTCCTTGTGGGCTTGAGCAAACAGGCTAACCAAAGCATACTTACCTTCAGTACTAAGACTTGAATTTAGGGGGTCTTTTGTTCCCCAAAAATGCTCAAGTCTAATGAGATCAAGATTTCTAGGTCTTTATATAATTGGCATGACTAAAATCAACAAGCATCTACTTTCAGTTAATAGAGATTTAGCATATGTTATTTGCCCAACATTTTCTTTCATTATGGTTTCCTTCATATTTTAGACCCTTTTTTCTTGTGGGATTTTTCTGGGTTTGTTGTTGTTGGTTTCATTCATATTTTCTTTCACTAGTTTCTGAGTTCCAAATGATCCCTTAGAATCTTCTGAGTTTAATACTACAATTCAACTTCTTCTTACAGCCATCACATGAGATGAATGGTAGAAATCTCCGAGGAGGCTAATGTGATGGAGAAGATAATGGAAGGCAAGTAACACCAATTAAAATACGCCCACATGAAAATGTCATTTCTGGTAAGGCATAAGATGATATGATTTAGGATAGGACTCCAACTCCAAGGGTAAAAAAGTCATTAATCCAAGCAAAAAAACATAGTGGATTCAGCACACAAATAAATAACATGATTTCCAGTAGATGCAAAATAATGGACAGAAAAAACTAATGACAATCAGTAAACAATATCAAAGTTGAATGAACACTCGAGTTTTTCACTTTTCACCAAACACCTTTCACTTTTCAAAACTTTTTTAAACTCCGTGAAGTCAAAGTATCAAATTGGTTTGAAGACGGACTGACGGAGGGAGCATTAAAAAACAGGGAGTAACTTATGTTTGTGATTGTTAAGAACCAATCATGCACCAGTGCACCAGCCAGTACATAAGAGCAACACTACATATAAGATTAAACCTAACTTCTCATTAACTTATCCTCATAAAATGTCATCTAATATTTAACAAGTAGAGAGAAAACAAGAAACAAGAGAGCAATAAAGTAGAAGAAAAACGGAGATGTCTTACGTGACAAAACCATTGTTATCAATGTCGGCAGCAAAAAACTGTGAAACGGTCAAATCCTGATCAAGCACCCATTTTGCCATCATCCTATGCCTTTTATCCACTCTTGCCTCGGCCAGGTAAAGAAAGGCTCTCGCGACAGCAAGAGTTGACACAAGCAACCAAAAGGACGCAAAAATCCTACCAGGCATGGATTCGAATGCCCTGTCGCCATACCCAACGGTAGTAACAGACATAACTGATAAGTAGAGCGAATCTAACCACCCAAGCCTTTCAACAAAGTGCATCACTAGAACCCCCACCCCAATGCAGAGAACCACAACACCCAATGCCAGTGTGACCTTCATTCGAATCCTCATCCTCCCTTTCTTCACATCGAATATGTACGAACCAGGGTCATGCCTACCCTTACCCTTGATAGTCTTCAACAGATAAGACTCTTGCAAATCAAGAACATAACTAACCATCCCACTCAAGAGAATGTCAATAAACCCGAAACCCACAAGCACAAACATGACAGAGAAAAGCTTTGTAGCAGGACTATCGGGAGTTATGTCCCCATAACCAATAGTACACATTGTGACAATGCAGAAGTAAAGAGCATCAACCACAGGGTGGGTCTCAGACCCCCTAAAATTTTCCTTGAACAAAGAATATATAGCCACACCAAGAATCAAGTAGAGACCCAAAAGCAAAACAGCTTGCCTCACAATTGGCAGCTTAACTGGTGGCTTGGGAGTGGAAGACTGGTGGTTCTCAATATCATTGATGGTGGCCAAGGCAGGGGCAGTCTTGGATCTGTGAAGATTGCTCTTCGACCATGAGCTGCAATTTGATTTCCGGTCAAAACTGGAATTAGGGTCCGAAGAATTCAAATCAATATTGGAATTCGGGTCCGAAGCAAACGGCTGAGAGGGAAAGTCGAAAGCATCGAGATTGGAGTTTGGGTCTCGGAAGGGGTTTGTGAAGGAGGAGGAAGGAGGAGGAGAAGCAGAACCGAAGATTAGCCGGTCTTTGAATTCGGAAGGGGTCAAGGGAGGAACTGTGATTTCATCGTCTTCCGGCAAAGGGCAAAGGGAAATGGGAATTGGGAGTGAAATTCTGGGTGTGGACATGGGAAGGAGAGGCTCTTTCTCCATCTGGAATCGCCGGAGTGTGGGTTGTGGGTCGCCGGAGAAGAAGATTTCCGGCTGTGGTGATGGATAACACTGGGGTCGGCCAGAGAATCAAATGTAAGACGTGAAATGCTGACACGAAACCGTAATGTCAACTTTTGGATATCAGAATTACCAGATTTTGGGAACTCCTCTCCCATCACAGAATGCCCAAAAAGGACGAAAAGAACAAAGTTTGCTTCTTCATCTTGATTAGGGTCAAATGTCATAATGTCACACTATTAATCATTGGAACATCGGCCAAATAGACCTGGTACTACTCTAGTTTGCAAAACAGACACTAATACACCCTTTGTTTTCGAAACTCATTTCTAAAGTCCCTGTGGACTTAGAAAGCTGCACCCATGTCCCCTCTGATCAATTTCCGGCCATTTTTCCGGCAAAAAATGGGGCATTGGTGCATATTTATTAAACCATAGGGGTATCAGTGCTGATTTTTATTTTCCGCAATTTTTTTTCCCATTTTTTCCTTTTTTTGTTTCATTTATTAATAAAGGTTTTTTAAAAATATTTTTATAATGTTCTTAAAATTTAAAGTTATTTTTGTTTGAAAAAAAAACATATAATGCATATGTACGTCTCAAATTAACAAATTTTGTTTTTTCTGAATAAAAATTAATTTTTTTAGAACTTCCAAAAAATGAGGAATAAATAAGAAACAAAATAATACAAAAATAAAAATGAATATCCTTTTTGTACATCTCAATTCTAAGGATTTTTTTAGGTGTGTCCAAATTTTTTTTTGTATAAGACTTTTTTTGCGTATTTTAATTTTTTCATTTCGATTTTCCATATTTTATTTTTTTATTCTCGGTTTTTTTAACTTTCCAAAAAATTATTCTAAGTAACAAAAAGTGAAAATGTTTAATTTGAGATAGATGTAATGTATGTTAATTTTTTATTTCTATTTTTATTTCAAACACAAAGAATTTTAAAATTTTTTAAACATTATAAAAAATTGAAAATATATCTTAAAAAATCTAGGAAAAGGAAAAAGAGATAGAAAATATTAAAAAAAGGGAAGAATAATAAACGAAAATAAGAAATGAGCACGAATGCCCCTTATGAGATTTAGAAATTATGTGTCAATGCCCCCTCTTTGCCGGAAAATGACCGGAAAATGATCATAGGGGGTGTGGGTGCAACGTTTTGAAACCACGGAGACTTTAGAAATAAGTTTTGAAAATATAGAGGAATTGGTGCCAATTTTCCAAACCACCGGGGGCATCAGAGTTATTTGGCCTTGGAACATCTATTAGTCCAATTGTAAAATTAACGATATTTACCCTGTAATTTCTCGATAAATCATACCCTAGTCCGACCTAAATTGACCAAATCACTCCACTTAATTGGACCACTCAAGTCTGGTTGATTTTGGATCGAGAATTTTAACATCAAAATCAATTAAATTTGAGTTGTCGAATTGAAACGGGTGGAGTGATACGTTCAAATCGAATCGAGATGGGAGAGAGGTTTACCAAGTTGATGGAAGATAAATTTGTCAATTTTCAATTGAAATATCGTAAGTGATGGGAAATAATACGTGACTCGGCCCACATTTCCCAATTATTTACGATGGACAGCCAAACCGGGCTTGTTTAATAAAATGGAGGAATAAGAGAATATTCCTCCGAATATGCTCCTCCTCCCTCCTATAAAAGGAGGGGTGCCCCCAATGTGAAGGGGAGGCCAATTTTTACACTCTCCCCTGCCCACTTCCTTTCTCTCTCTAGAATAGTGTGTATTTTGCTTCTTCTTCAAGAGCTCAAGAGCTTCATTAATGGCTTCTACGCTTAAATTATGTACCGTGTACACACCCCCGATATTAATAAAAATTCCCCGTTGGCAATGTACCGCCAAGAAAGGCCCGTGGTTTTCTCCCGATTTGGGTTTCCACGTCAAAATCCCCGTGTTTATATTTTGGTGTATTTTTAGACTAATTTATCGTTTTAGCCGGGCTAAAACGGTATACCGGTCGATAATTTACACCATCATTTTGGCGCCGACCGTGGGACCCGAGCAAAAATCCATGATTTTGATGTTTATCCTTCCTGCTCATACAAAAAACCCAAAGAAAAGGGGTTAAAATGAAAAAAAGTGGGTGATTCAAGAGTGAGAGAGGGATGAGTTTTCTGATTTTTTGATTTTACAAAAAAAGGGAAAGAAAGGAGCCCCCCAAATTTAAGCGCCCCTGGATCTAGCTCTGCTGGTACTCCCTACCGGAGCCTGCCGTCGCTACTGCTCAGATCCGCCGCAGCCACCTCCGCTGAGCCTCCGCCTCCGCCGCCGCCGCTGCTCAAACCCGCCCCAATCACCACCACAACCAACACTAAACACTGATGAAGTGTTGCGGGAGCAGAAAAAGAGTTGTACCGCCCTCGTACCCCGCCCAGTAGATGGAATTCCGGCAAGGGGTAATAGGGGTACAAAAAAAACCAGAGAGATCACTCTCTGTTCGCCGCTGCCGTCGTGGGTTGGCCACCACTGCCGCAGGTTGCTGGAAATCCATCAGCAAAGAAAGGAGTGGTCAGCCCGTCGTCCACATTTAGCGCCAGGAGATAAAATCGTTATTGATGTTGATTGACTGTAGATCTTCACCCGCCGCCGCTAGGGATCCCTACCACCATTGAAGGCCATCGCCGCTGAAGTCAATTGGAGTCTCTGGGGTAACCCTCTAGGTCTACTGGGGATGATACATACCTACTGCCTAATCTAATTTCAACTTAATTAGGCCCGCCACTCCACCCTAGCTAAAATCCATGACTGCCATTCTTAAAGTACGACGTTGCCATGATTAGAGTCCACCATTGCGATTCATCACAGCCCCTTGATCGGGATATGGTTGCTGCCATTTCACTCTCTCTGATGACTACCTTCATCGGAGGACGTAGATCTCCCGTGTTGCCACCATTGTTGTTGGGGTACGTCGGCGCCTGTTCTCAAACTCATCCCCCGGTGTTGCTGAATTCATCGATGTTGCGCCTACAACTGCTCAAAAATATTGCTGTAGAAGATCTGCCGTCAGTAGAGGGATTTTACCCGACCATGTTGTTGAAATCTATCAACCGCTGAAGCAAATCACCGACGGTGTTGATGTTGGAGCTAGTCACTATTACCCAAATTGACGACCTTGGTGATGGAGACCCCCGCTAATGCTGTTGGGTTACACCCTCAACGCCATCATCAACCTCACCCTGGCTGTCCCTCGTCGTCTCCCTGCAACGCGCTACCGGCATCGCCCTTTGGACTGGGGTCGGAGTGGACGCGTGAGGTTCATCTCCTTTGGCCAACACATGGATTCCAAAACAAGAAGGAAAGAGAAGATTATCATCTCAAATCAAGCACGTGAAGCTGTGGAAGATTTCACAAAGGTGGGCCCATCATAAAGAGAAGAGAGATAAATCCATGGAGAACCACAAGTGCATCATGCATGTGGTGGGATTCCTTTTGATACGGAGTACTCATCAATCATCATAAAGTAAATATGGCATGCAAGGTTGGGTCCACTTCACTTATGGTGGTGAAATATTGAAGGAAGCTTCACGTAAAAAACTGAAAGGACCCACCACTAACAAGTGATTGTGGAGTGGGTACATTACAGCATGCAATACAGAGCAATAATTTACTACACAATTTGGGGTCTTTGTTCATCAAGATATGGGCCTGGTCTAGCACACTCCGGTCTTGCTCAATACTTTACAAAGAAAAGAAAGCCGAGCTTGGTACGCTGGTTACAACACCGGTCTTGCTCAGTATTAAAAAAAAAGAGGAAGACTGAGACACAAGCCCGGCCTGGCACGCTGGTTACTACACCGGTCTTGCTCAGTATAATAAAAAATATTAAAATATGTGACACAGGCCCGGCATGGCACGCTGGTAAATATCATTCTTGTGCGTGAGACAGGCCAAGAATGATATACACACCGATCTTGCACATATTTTCTCGTAAGTCTGACCCCAATCGAATTGGGTACACCGGTGGCTCAGCTGAGCCCTTATCGGGGACGCCCGATTCTTCATGCCCTTTGAACAATGCACTCCGGAAGTGGTCTCTACATGACATGAAGATATTTGCATCAGTTAGCCGGGCTAACATCGATCTTCGACAAAGTTGCTGCAACATACTTAATTCGTATTAAGTAACATCGATTACTTCGATATACTAATTTCGCTATGTGTCTTTTACTTAATCCGTACTAACATCGGTCTCGACGAAATAACTACTTGAAGCACCGCCGCTTCATCGTACTAACTCCGGTGTCGTATAACTACTCGAAGCATCGTTGCTTTATCGAACTGACATCGCTCTTGTGACGATAATTATTCACGCGAATTTTAACCACCCTAACACCGAGCTCCTCGGTAAAGATAATAATTTTTTGAGCACGGCATAGGCCGGTCAAAAAAAATGTTGTACATATTATTTTTTGCAGGAAAAACTTCTGATTCAAGAAATTAAAGAATTAATGAAGACTCGGAGGACTAGCAATAATATCAACCGGCCAAGAATCCAAAGTACGAAGACTGAAGATATCACTCGGAGGACTTGTTTACTTTATTAAGTTGATGATTCTCACAACTTAAAAAAGTGGAGGACTTCTTGATGGGAAATAATACGTGGCTCGGCCCACATTTTCCAATTATTTACGATGGACAGCCAAACCGGGCATGTTTAATAAAATGGAGGAATAAGAGAATATTCCTCCGAATATGCTCCTCCTCCCTCCTATAAAAGGAGGGGTGCCCCCAATGTGAAGGGGAGGCCAATTTTTACACTCTCCCCTGCCCACTTCCTTTCTCTCTCTAGAATAGTGTGTATTTTGCTTCTTCTTCAAGAGCTCAAGAGCTCCATTAATGGCTTCTACGCTTAAATTATGTACCGTATACACACCCCCGATATTAATAAAAATCCCCCGTTGGCAAGGTACCGCCAAGAAAGGCCCGTGGTTTTCTCCCGATTTGGGTTTCCACGTCAAAATCCCCGTGTTTATATTTTGGTGTATTTTTAGACTAGTTTATCATTTTAGCCGGGCTAATTAGAATCGATGTCACACAAATAAACTAACAAATATACAATTTTTCATTTCTTTTACATTTCATTTTTTGTTGACAACTGCTTATTGTTCTATAACTATTTATTATGGAGTATTTTTGTTTTTCATTTTTTGTTAAAATAGAAAGATAAACTTTGTGATTTTATTTTTATGACTTTAGCATTGCTCGAAATAAATACCTAAGTGAACAAGTATGATACTAAAATCATGTTCTTTGGGGCTGAAAAAATAACTTCTAGTTTTTTCTAATTTTTTTATTTTCTTTCAATTTTTTCTAGTTTCTCCAACTTCTTTTAGTTTCTTACTTTCTTCCAAGAGCTACATTAAAGAATTATTTAGGTGTATTTTTCATATTATTCTGCTATTATTATTATGCTCGTAATCAATGTATATAAAATTAATAAAATTAATTTATTTCATAATTTATACAAAAGAATATTTCATACTTCTGGAAAAATATTTAATTAATATAATAAAGTTGGGATAAAATATTAAAATGTTACATTTTAAGAATTTATTTAGTGGTTACACCTCAATTTGTTTATGCAATATTTATTATAAATAATAGAGAGTATATTTATAATTACACTCTATATGTCATATGCATTTGTTTTGAATATTAGACCGTCATAGAATGTGTCCACATCTATTTTTTTTAACTTTCTTTTCCGAAGTAATTGAATTACTTTTCTCTAATATTATCAAATTTTAATAAAATAATTAAGCAAATTATATCATACATCTGGATGTACTTTTTGATTTAAAAAAATTAATATGCATATGTCGAATCTAAGTAGACAAATTAAAATAATTTGAAATAGTTAACAACATAGAATTCACAAAAATACTGACAAGTAAATAAATAAAAACAGAAAAATTAAAATGATTTATAAACTATTCTAGAGACATGAAGTTCAAAGAAAAAAATTACTTCAACACCATTTCTTTCCCAACTTTTTTTAACAGTAGAGTTTGATGAAGAATTCATGGAAAGGAGATGGTGGAGGCGAAGATGGTTGACAACTATCTGGACAAGTCATGGTTGCGACCAATTTTTACTTTGGTGTACATTTAGCCTACTCCAAGTGAGGTTCTTCAAGTTGTTCTCTTCTAGAATAGAACTTGTTTGCCCAACATGATTTGTATCAAAGTATTCATGCAATTACATTTTTTGGAGACAAATTTAGTCATCTATTTTATAGAAAATTTATGCAAAATGGCTAAATTAGGAGTAAAACATAAAAAAGTATCTAAATAGAACTTTCATATTTTTTATTATCAAAATTGAAGTACAATGCCAATAATACTACTCCAATATATAGTACCAAAAAAGATACTCCCTCTGTCCCATTTTAAATTGTCTGTTTGTCTTTTTTTCCGTTCCAAAATAAGTTGTGTGTTGGTTGTTTTCGTACTTTTTTAAAAATAAAATACCTAGACTACTTCACAAAATAAGTCACTCTTCTTCACCTTATCTTCTCATTCATCGTCACTCCCCCTAAAAAGTAAGTAATGACAATTTCAAAAAATCAACTATATTTTTTTTTTCCTTAAATATGCCCAAAAATCAAAACAGGCGATTTAAAACGGGACAGAGGGAGTAGTAAAATATCAATATAAAATGTCATAATGTCACAGTACAAATTTTTATTTTGGGGATAAAAACATCAAATTCTTATTTTAATTATAAATGTTATATTTTACTTCTTTTAGGATAAGTTTTTTAAATTTTAATGCAATACAGTACAAAATTGATTTTATCTTACAGAAACCTTTTAGAAACTTAATTCATTGTAATAGTATACAATGCAAAATGTGTACCCCCTTCTTTAAAATCATTTGTTTCGGTTTATGATGTTTGGTTGAAATTATTTTCAAATTATTTTTTATGAAAAATGATGTATAATTAAAAAACTAAAAATTGCATATTTAAAAACTACAAAAAATCTACAAGACTAGTTATTTCATCAAATAATTAGTGAAAACCAAGAAAAAAGTATGATATTTGACCCTATAAATAATAAACAAACAATTTAATTTAGGAAGGAAGGAGTACTTCATAAATAAATTTTATTCTCAGAAAAATCAATTTAGACATAACAAAGTACATTTTGAGTCCTAAATACGGTTTCATTGTGAAATCATAACTGTGAGAAAATGTTCAATAAATTAGGACACCATTTTATTTTTTTTGTTTCTCTTTCTTTGCAACCATGCAATATATTGATGTCCAAAAAAAACTTCCCACTTACACATTACAAGACTTGACTTAAATTATTTGTTATTCTATTTATATAAAATTTGATGTAAAATAAAAAATGATACCTTCAAAAAACACATCAAAACTTCTACTCCAGTACAAAACAAGAATAATTTTATTGTTTTATAAAATAAACAATGAAAATATGAAAAAAATGGTCAAATTTCAAACCTATGTATAGCAAACATAAAAGTCACATAGGGACCAAAATGATTTTCGATGCAACACATAATATACAAATGATGTTTTTTGCTTTCACTATTCATCTAGATAGAGCTATACCCATTAGTAGGCCTATCAATGGGTTGTGTTTGGATCGGTTTCTAGTGTTCTATACTCGTATCCTTTTTTAAAAAGTTGATCCTGACACGTACCTATTTATCTGATGGGTCTTGAAGTTATATCCTAAATTTTGACCCATTGGATTTCAATATTGGATCGGATATACCCGTGCTAAAAGTTGACATCTTTTATTTTTCTATAATTGAAAAAATTAGTAAAAATACTATGAACAGAAAAATTGTTGTTGAATACAAATAAAAATAAAACTAATATGTTACTGTAACAAAAATCAACCTTCTTTACCAAAAAATCTACAACAAAATCTTAAATTCATAATCAATGTTCTTGTGGCCTTTTATGTTGCAAAAATCTTCTTTATAACATTACATCTAATTTCAAATTATTCATTCTATACAACTGCATTAAATTACCGTATACATGTCTCTAATGTGGTGAAATAAATATATATAGATTTGGAAGCCACAAAACCAGCAAAGAAGAAGAGTAGCGAAGAAAAGGAGTAAGATTTTGTAATTTTTGATATTATCTATTTATTTACACACTACGAGTTTTAAACGGTTAGAACTACTCGTCCTATGCTCGACTCTTTTTTTTAAATAACGGGTACGGATTCAGGTACGGGTAAACATTTTTTATACTCATAAACCCGCTAAAAATTATGAGTATAATATATGTTCGGGTCTATACTCGACCCACTGACAAACCTACGCATTAGCATTTAACAACATAAAACGAGCATTACACTTAAATAACTAACAAAAATAAGAAAATTAAGTGGATGAAATTTAACTCTAAAAAATAAGATAACTTAATTTAGAACGAAGAGAGTAATGATTTATATCAAAAGAATAATTAGAATAACAAATACAAACAAGATGAAGTGAGCATTTTCCATAGGAATCCCTAAAATAAACTTGCACTTCAACTTAACCGAGTTCTAAAACTTGATTAAATAAAAAGTGGGTGGTTAGAATTTGAATAGAAAGGCCGAGGGAGAGAAATGTTTTGAAGGATATATATTTTCTTTTAGAACGCCACTCGAAAACGGGCAGAAGATCAAAATACACACCAAAGAGTAGCACTCACTACACAAATTACAAATATGGCCATTGAACAAAGTACTTACACCAAAGATTAATCTTTTAACATAAATTTGAAGCGCTATATAATCATCAACCAATACGGGAGCAAGAGGAATGGAACTAATCATCATCCTCAAAGCGACGCCTCTGGATCTGAGGAAAGATCAAAACAGATGAGTTCAGGAACCCGAGTACCAGACATCAAAATTAAAATCCATTGCGACTGGTATACAAAGACTTACGGTTACTTTTGTTTGTTTGGTGGTTTGAGTGTTGATCTGCTCAAGCAACTCAATGAGTTTTTCTTGTGACACCTGCAAGATCAGCAGAAAGAGACAACTTTATAGGATGATGAATTTTAGTTCCAAAAGCATGAGAGATTGTATTTTGCATAAAGGATGTGTATGTGTATGTATGTGGAAAGTGCAAAGTGGGATGCCTTTTGTTTTTTGTTCAACAAAGACATGCAAGTTCCCTAATTACTGAAGTAATATTTTGTTTGCGAAATTTAAACGAACAAAGAACCATTGTCTTCAGTCTTTTAGGGCCTCATTATCTTCCATATACGGAAATCATCTGTCTTTTTCATTTTATTTTTTGTTTAAAAAATGAGAATCATTGTCGTCTTTCTTCCTTCATCCCTTAGACCATTCAAGACATAACCCTGATACCTTGCCTCTTAATTTTCACTAATAAGTGAGCACTGAACAATCCTTCAGCTACCACCATATTAATTGATTGTCTTTATCTCTCTGTAGATCCTTTTTGTTTTCCTCTTTTTGCTATTTTAATCCTTTCTACTAGAACTCACTGTCTCTAGTTAATCTCCTCTCCTTCTGTACAACCCATTTGTCCTCTATAAGTAGCTTGTTAAGAGGCATAGATGATGATTGTGAGGCTCATGAAACAAAAGATGGAAATGAGTATGAAATTACAATTTAGGACACATGATACAGAGTACAACAGAAGATGCTATTCAGTTTTTGGATTAGTCAGAAAATCTTTGTCTAACGCATGTTTTAAATTTTTGATATGGGTTGGCATACACATTTTATCCTTCCATATCCTATTGACTTGGTGTTTTGTCCGTTGCGGAACAATAATGTGCTTTTTTTATTTCAACATGACAGATTTGTATGCCATTGAACTATCGTTATGAATTTTCTATTTGTATCCTT